TATCACAGTTCTGTTGCAGTACGTATCCCGCTCAGCTGCCAAACACAGGCGAGATTAAATTACACGTTTCTAATGCTCTGGGGAAAGGAAAAACTTAAAAGAGGCATCGTGAATGTGTAAATGATGGGTGTATGAAGGAGGCCTTTAGTCTTAGGGTGGGGGACAAATCACAGATCTCATATTGGTAAACTGCCCTCAAAAAGAGCCCTTAACAAATCCTAGCCTTCGCTCCCTCCTTTCTTCAAATGTTGCTGCTTATTCCTATTCCAGCTCTCGTGGGAACCAATAGGACTTTCCCCACAGATGACAGCAGTAGCAAAGCCAGGCCCCCATGAGTGAATAATCTACATGAGAAAAAGCTGAAATAAGCACTTTAAACCTGGATGGTTTACCAAAACTGTAACTTAGACTCTAGAGAAAGTGAAATCCTAAGGAGAATTTTCCCTTGCTCAGATGGCAACCACCAGTTTTAGAATATTTGATCCTTTGGTAAGGAACAATTGCAAAGACAGGGAGCACTCACATCTTCCAGAGCAGTCAGGTTATTCTTTCCTATGGAGAAAATCTGTAGCTCTTGTAACGTGTCCATATGCTCGATTTTAGATATTCTGTTATTGTAGAGGCTTAGGTCCTGCAGTTTGACAAGGGTATCCAGGCCCTCAATTACTTCAATATTGTTGAAGGACAAGTCTGGGGAAGAGTTTAGAAATCAAAGTTTTACAAGCAAAAGTTAATTCATTTCTAGCAGAACACCCCGATCCAATTCTTGCATTTAGCCTGGGTCATGATTTAGGAGTCTATACACAATGTTTTCCTCAGGGGTGTTCAGTGTCCCACAGGAAAGGGTGAGCATAAATTCGTCATTCTTTGGGTTAGGAAGCACCAGACACTTCTCCTTACAACTGCCCACACAACTCTTATATAATGATGAAGACATTCCACACAGAGTCCACATAAACAACCTCATAGTGATTTCTACCTTATGGGGAAAACCAAAATACAAGAAAAGAGGCAGGGAAAGGCCCTTACAAGGGTGGTATTTCTGTGACAAGTTTAACATTCCCTGCCTTGTCTTTCAGACTCTTGCCTGCCATGCCAATTCCCCCAGACCAAGATATGTCAGCTCCACGCTCACAACCACCCTGCTGTCAATGGAGACATGCTCACTGCACCTATTTCACTCATTAATATTTCCTCATCTCATCCTGCCAGAACTTCCATCCTAACGCCTACACTCACCACAGATAAGGGCAGCCTTTGCTTTCGGGCCAGTCAGTACTGAGTGTTTCAGGAGTCCAAAGGCAGTGACGAGGTCTGCATCACCCTAGTCCCTGGATGGCTAAGGCATTCACACAGCAGCTGCTGAACCACCGCAACCTTTGGGCGAGCTGAAACCCATGAGAGTGCTTCAAAACACTCTGCTTACGCTGTGCTGATCAGCTGTTGATTCACAAGTGCATTAGTCATCTGCCCAGTAGAACGGTGCAGACAACAGGGCGGAAGAACTCATTAGACATTTCAAGATGTTCTTATGAGCCAAAGCCCCCATGCTATTTTCAGTGGCAAGTGAGGATATATTTACACTGCCACCCAATAACAAAGCTGCAGCTCCCAGCGAGTGCTGTTAGCTAGGAATCTGTAGCAGCAAGGTCACTGATCTGCCCAGCATCAGAGCCCGCATCGCTGAGTGATGCTGCTGTCCATATCCTGAGTTTTTAGTTGAAAGTAGTCAGGTAAGACTACAAGGACAGGTGCTTTTGGGGACAACAAAGGCAACAAGCCCTTAAGCTTGTAGGGATGAAGACAGCACCGTGTTTCAGGGGGTTCCAGGCTCCAAAATGCTTACATTACCTTTGAAAACAGCATACAGATTTCTAAGTCACAGGGGAGTTTCCATAAATATTTACGAAAGTCACCTCGAAATATGAGTACAAAACCTGGAAACAGCCTTGAAATCGCAGCTTCCTGTTCCTGCCACACCAAATGTATTAAAACCAGGCTGTTAAACATTTGAAGGATTTTTGTGCAGTACTGATATTCATGCCTTTTGACATTTGACAGTCAAATGAGGAAACACACCGACAGCTAACAGCCTTCCCTGGGAAAGCTCATATCAGTTGTGCTTGAGGAGGAATGTGACGTCCTGGCTTTATCACAGATTGCTTTGCACCTGAGAAGGCATCCAGCCCCATACGCCTGCATCTTACCGAGCCAGACAAGGTGAACCAGACTCTCCAGAGCTTCTATCTTCTCAATGATGTTGTTGTCCAGCTGCAGTTTAGTCAGATTCTCAAACTGCCACAGATTATCAATCTGCAGGATATCTAAAGGCACAGGAAAAAAATAAAACTGCTTTTTAGGTGAGGCAGCTTTCAGTTTAACAGACGTACTACCTTTCCTAAGGAAAAACACCCAGTCTTACTTCAAAAATGATTTTCAGCAGCTTACAACAGTGTGATTACTGCCCTAGAGAGCTGAGAGGTCCACTGGCTGGATGTGATTTCAGTGAAGCAGCCCAGTTAACCTCAGTGTCTTGCACCAGCACACACTGCTCATCAGCGATGCCAATGAGCCACTGAGGGGATGCTGACTGCACTCTACAGTGGCTTTATGAATCCTCTACTAGGAGGCCTTGACCTTCATTTTCCTTTCCAGCTCTGAAAGCAAGGTTTGGGATGAAACTCTGCTTTTTTTGCTGTATTTTCAGGCTACTGCTGGCCAGCTACTGCTTTTGTAATTCACGCTCCTGCTCCTGGGATTTTCTTCGCAGGAGAACAAGTTGGGATCTAATGTTTCTGTGAGGGTGGCAGTTTAGAACTGATCAATATCACCGCATTTAGCTTTCTCCAAAAACAGAACCACAAGGGCAGGCTGGTAGGCATTACAGCAAAACATTAGGACCAAGGTGACAGAAAATACAGAAAACTCTTGCTCCCAATTCTTTTCCCCGCGATGGCTTCCCAGCAGGTTTCACTAGGTGCTGTTGTTTATTGAGCACTCAATTGCACACACAAAATGGTCACGCAGTTCTCTCTTGTATTTGTAAAGAAATACATGCAGGATCAGGTAATTGAGAGCACGTCCTAAGGAACTCATCCAATATGTGCATTATTTTACTGGAGCATGCAATGAATAACCAACAATTTTGTCCATGAAATTATATATCCCCAAAAAGCTCAAATATCGAACCAAATGTTCTTTCTTTTCATTTTCTGAATGCAAGTTTACGACTAGTTTGACAGTAAGAGATGAGTTTTGATAACATTACGGATGGCCAGAGGAAGCTACCAAATTGGAGTGTAATCACCACAATCTGCCACGTAGCTCTCACATAGCCACCAGAGCTGGCAGAGCCTGCCCAAAATTTCATTTGGCCACGTACAGAAGGGCCCAATAGGCCTGTGGCCTGTAGGTGTCACCACAATATAGATGTTAAATAAGAATAGCACTGACAAGAGCAGCATAAAGCCAAGCAGCTTCAAAGCTGCCCACAAGCAAAGCCACCCAGTCCTCTCAACTGAAACTACTTCATACACACATGACTAAAAATCTAAGTCCTGACATTATTTTTCACATAACAAACCCAAGCTGATCATTATTGTTTAATTGCTGGGTAGCCACCTAATATTAGTGGAGGGTAAGCGAATTAAAAAACATATATATGTTCTGATACTCACTTCTAAAACTGAGCTGTAGTTCCGTCACATTTTTGAGGTCAATACCTTCACTTTTGGCGAGTCTCCCTATGTCCTCTGGCCATTGCTCTTCAACCGCTTTCTGAAGCATTTCATCGTCGATAACATTTGGCTTGATGCTGTTGTACGACTGACTCATTTTTAGAGGATATCAGCCTTAATGGACAGAAAAGAAAGAAAAATTAAATCCAGTGCCTGGCTGCTATTTCTAATGCTCATTGAGCTGGCACGATAACACCAAGGAATTAAGAGCACAGTCGAGTATTAAGACCTAACGCCTCATAGCTGATGTCAAAGATGCACTTGACTTTTATCACAAGGTCACTGGTGTGACTTTATGATAAATGGCACAGCCTTCTCACCACGTTTAAGGGTTTTTTTGTGGAGAATGTTAGATTCTGGCCAGATAAATGGAGCAGGGGAGAAGCTCTGGGCACAGTCTGTGACAACCATGGCCCTGCACCTGCTGCTGAAATCCCTCTTCGTGAAGAGGGCATATTTAAGGCCTTGGGCACCATTTACACTTAGCCTTAAAAGGTACGTTGAAGCTTATAGGAAAGTTTGATTTACAGAGCAACTACACAGTATTTATAGCAGATAATTAACAGCAGCGATTCGCTGGGTTTTAAACACCAATTTCATAACAAAAGTCAAAAAAAAGTTGCAGAAAAAGGAGAATTATAAAGAGCACAGCAGTTTTGTGAAGATATTTAATGCAGATCCCCAGAAAAGGCTGTCAGATGGAGCCCATACACACACAGACTCCTTCCCTGCGGGACCAGGCACAGTTTATTCCCTGCCTCTGCCGTTCCCAGACCCCTCACGGAGCCCAGGCCCAGGCCCAAAACCAGGCCCCACCGCCCCCTGCCCCGGTTGCTAAGGAAGCCCGGGAAGCGGTTGCTAGGGGAAGTCACGTGACCACCCGGGAGAGGGGTGGGAAGGGCGAGCCGCTAATCAGTGCGCGAGAAAACCGTGTCAGCCAATCAGCGCCCCCCAGCGTGCCCCGGGGGCGGGAGGAGGAGCGTACGATTGACGTCGCGCTTGGCCAATAGTGTTGCGGAACGCCGTGCGCGTCGCCCAATGAGGAGTGCCGCTAGCGGCGCCTCCGCTGTCCATCAAGCAGAGGGCGTGGGAAGGGCGGGGACCTCCGCGGGGGCGGGGCGTTCTCTTGACAGTGACGGGCGCGCGCCTCGACCTATAGGAACACGGGGCGTGCGGGAGAGGACCAATGGGATGCGAGGAGGCGGGACGCGCTCGGCAAAACGAGCGGGGGTTGGTGCGGGCGGCTGTCAGTCAGGGCGGCGGAGGGGGCAGGGAGGAGGGCGGGCCGCCGGGCCGCTGTTTGTTGTCATCCCAAGATGGAGTTCCTGCTGGGGAACCCCTTCAGCACCCCGGTGGGGCAGAGCCTGGGTAGGGCGGCCGGGGGAGGAAATGGGGGGAAAAGGGGGCGAAAATGGGGTGTAATGGTGGAAAATGGGGGGTCTTGGGGGGTAATGGGGGGCTTTAAGGGGATAATGGGGGACGCTAGGGGGGTAATGGGGGGTAATGGGGGGAAAATGGGGGGCTCTGGAGGAAAATGAGGGGTCTTGGGGGGTAATGGGGGGCTTTAGAGGGGTAATGGGGGGAAAATGGGGGGCTCTGGGGGAAAATGGGGGGTCTTAGGGGTGTAATGGGGGACATTAAGGGGGAAATGGGGGGCAATAGGGGGCTCTGGGGGGCAATGAGGGGAAAATGGGGGGCTCTGAGGGGAAATAGGGGGCTCCAAGGGGAAATAGGGGGGAAATTGGGGTGCCTAGGAGGGGTAGTGGGGGGGTAATGGGGGCTCTGAGGAGCAATGGGGGGCTTTGAGGGGACAATATGGGGGAAATGGGGGGCTGTGGGGGGCGTTAGGGGTCCCTGGGTGAAAATAGGGGGCTGTGGGGGAAATTAGGGGTCCCTGGAGGAAGATGGGGGTCTGTGGGGGGCGTTAGGGCGCTTTGAGAGGGAAATGGGGGGCTGTGGGGAGCAGTAGGGGGCTTTGGGGGGGAAATGGGGGGCTATAGGGGGCTCTGGGGGTGGTGAGGCACCACGAATTGAGGAGCCTGAGGGGTCAAGGGGGTGCCAGGGTTGCTCTGGGGGTGTTGGGGAGGTCTGAGAAGGGCCTGGAGGTGGGGAACTGGGGGTCCTGGAGGGCTCTGTGGGGGTCCTGGGGAGTTCAGGGGGCTCTGGGGGGAGGCAGATGGCTGTGGGGCTGCTCGGGGGGGTTGGTGGAGGGGGGAGCTGTGTTGGTGTTTGCCCCATCCCGGCTGCCTCCTTCTCCTTTGTCCCCAAGCGTCGAAACCTCCCGGGGACGTGTGGAGGTGCAGGGAGGGTGTTGGGGTGCGCTCGGTTTTCATCCCAATGCTCGAAACGTGGTGGTGGTGACAACGCTTTGGTGGTGTCGGGGGGCTTCGTGTCCGCGTGGCGTCCCTGTGTGGCTGGGGCAAGGCTGGTTTCGGGTGAGCAGGGCCACGGGAGGAAGCCCGGGCTCCACACCTCGCCTGTGGTTGCCATCCCCTCCTGCGTGGAGGTGCTGAAGAAACACGGGGTGGTGGGGACGGACACGCTGCCCCCGCTTCCCGCAGCACGGGGACTGTCGAACGCGCTTCAAATTCACTTGCCCTCTTCAGCAAAGCCGTCCTCTTAATTTTCTTTCTTTATTTCATAAACAGCAATAATCCTATTGCCTCGCTCAGGGCGTTATGTGCAATATAATATACGGCCACGTGTAGCCCGGCCTCCAGCTATGCTCCATTATGAAGTGACAGGGGACTGGTTCCTCTGGGAATCGAAGCAGAAACGTTTTGCAGAGGGCCGTGGCCTCAAAACCCAGCAGTTCTGGTCCAAACACGGAGAGTTGGAGGCCGAGGAGGTGAAGGGTGGAAGTTTGATGTGATTTGGGTGGCATCTGCCAGGCCGCCTGGACGGGAGCTCTTTGAAGAGCATCGTCCAGCGAGGGCAGGGATTTCTGATCCGTTTCTTCAGGTTTTGGCAGATTTTTTTAGCACCAGTAAGTGATTTAAAGGAGTTCCCTTCATTCTCAGTTATCGTGGAGGGGTTTTAATGCTGCGATGTGCTTTGCTAGCCTTCTGCTTTCCTTCCTGTGTCCCCCTGCTCTTCCATAAGCTTAGGGCCGCGTGCGGGGCTCGTAGCACAAAATCCAGTTGCACTTTACGTTTTCGCATCCCTCGGGCTGGGAAGCGATCCCTCCAGGTTTCATTTTGGAAGCTTTGTGCTTCTGGTGGCGCTGCCAGCGATGCCTCCCCGAGACAGCAGCAAAACAAAAGCACGCCTTGTTCCCAGCCGCCGCCGCTCGCCCCGCGCTCCCCCGGTTTGTTGTGCTTGGTTTTTTCTTTCAATGAGCTCGCAGATTACGATTCTCACTCCTCTTCCTTCTGTAAAAGAAGCCGAGAGCTGTCGGATTGCTGTCCAAACACACTGTGCTGGGTGCAGTTGTGTTTTCGAGCGAGGCCTCAGAAGCTCAGGAAATTCTGCAGGGCCCTCAGCGCGCCACGAGCCCGCACGTAGCGGGGCTTGGCGTGAAGATTTAATTAGGGCGAGACAACGTCTTCAGATAAACTCCAGGCCTGAAAGAACGGAGGTGTCAGAGAAGGCCTGGGGAGAGCCGAGCGAGGTAAAGCGAGGGGTTTTCTCTTTTCCTCCTCCTTTTTATCTGGATCGTGGCTGCAGCCAGGCGGGCTTTTTCTGCGGACTCTTTTTGCTTAATGTGGGAAAGCGACGCTGGGATGAGCCCAGAGGGTTTGTAATGGAGATGGATCGAGGCTCCTGCATCTCCAGTGCCAGCGCAGACGTGCGCCAGGCTCCTCTTCTCCCAAAGCTCCCCGATTTTTGCACTGCCCTGTGTGCTGGCCTCAGCCCGCTTTCCAGCAGCCGCGTAACAGAGGCTGTACAAAACACCACCGTGGCTGCTAATTACAAACCTCCCTGCGTGTTTCTCTAATATCCTGATTGTCCTTTCGTCTCTGGCGAGGCCTCTGCAGAGCCGAGGGCTGGTTTTAGGAGGGCTGGGGGCTGCTGGCAGTCACCTGAACCCGGGAGGTTCCTGGGCTTCTGCTTCGGAGCCGTTTTGCAATTTCCTTGTTGCCTCTCGCCAGCTGGTTGCAGGAAGGGGAGGCAATAGCGAGATTTTTACACAGGATTTAAGTCTCGCCCAGGGTTGTGCAGCAGGATCTGTTACTTCTCCAGGGCTCTGGGAGGCAGTGAAACTTTTTCACGTCCATCCAGACTTGGGAGAAGCGTCCTCAGCATCGCTTCTGTCAGCGCTTTCTGATGGTCCTCGGGAAGATCCCTGCTCAGCGAGGGGGAAGGATAGGAAAAGATGGGTTGTAAATCGTGAAGACGCGATGCTTGGTACCTGGAGAGAGGCTGCCCTGTGGAAAAAGCAATTTACAGTCATGGGAATTTGTCTTGAGAGCCCACATCCCACCACAAAGTGCATTTTGGCCTTTTTTTTTCAAGGCGCTCACGTATAAAGTGTCACCGCTCCATTCAAGGTGACCAGAGGGAATATCCTCACTGGAGGTTAGCAAAAACATCCCGGGTGATTAAAACTGATTGAATTACAAGATCAGGGAGTGCTGGCAACTTTTTCTTTTTATTATTTTTTTTCCATTCTGCTTATTCGACACGGGCCATATGGCTCACACACGAGGAGAGCGCAAAACCGGCTCCCTTCGTAGGATTTTTTTTGGCACCGGGGAACTTTGTGAACACTTCAGGGGGGTGTTCATGTGCTTGAAGCCAAGCTGAACCTCGCTCCTTGCCCCTCAGCACCCTCGTGGGTGTGGGGCTGAGCTCAGGCAGTGCTGCTCGTGGAAGGATCGATGGATGGATGGATGGACGGGGACACTGTGCTCTGCTCTGGGGCAGTGGCACATGGAGTCTGTCTGACTCCCAGCCAAAAGCCTCCCAGCAGGGCTCCAGACCCAGCTTACACAGGCACCTGGAAGTTAATTTTTAACAAAATAGGAGAAATTAGCATGTCATGGGTAATTGGGGTGAGGGCGTTGGTTGGGAGGTGCTGGTTTGCAGCCCCGGTTCCTCTTGGGGCTTAGGTTGGGGTGCTCGCCTTGGAGGCTGTTTTCGGAGTGTCCCGGTGCCACGATTTAATGAGCAGTATTGTTTAAGGAGGCCACAAAACCTCGGTTTCAGCGAGGGATGCAGAGGCACTTTATTGAGGCAGCAGCGAGGCAGACAGCTTTCCAATTGATTTTTATCAAAGCGTTTGCAGTTTCCATTCAGGGCTGTTAAATTGGTAATAAATGTGGAGCAGAGCTGCTGGTTTGTTTCCCCCTCTTTTTTTTATTTTTTTTCTTTTTTAATGAGACAAGATGTATAGGCACCTTTTTATTCTCCTTTCTTCTCAGGAAACACTTAAGAAACCCGGCAAAAGGTCTGATGTCTTCAGTTTTTTATGGGTCTTGGAATAAAAGTGGCTCCTAAATGAAGGAGTACACAACGCTGTGCAGGAGTCAAGAGATGTGTTACAGGGAGCAGCCCGCCGTAATCCTGTAGGAAGATTTAGCCCACGCTTTCTTATCCCCATAAACAAATTGCCTAAGTTACATTCAGAATAAACTTTCTGCTGTGTTTGAGGGATGCTGCCGGGCTCCAAATCATCTCCCTTTTCACTGCAATGAAGCAAAAAAGCCCCAAGATTCTGACTTTTCCTCGTACCCACTGCAGTTCTGTGCCCTGTTCGGCGGGCAGGTTTGTCTCAGTGCCAGCCAGCAGTAACTTTCTTTGCTCTCAGGTGCCTGCAGCTTTTGCTGTGTCAGGTAGGTGAGCATCATCCTCACCCACAGGGTGCAGAACATGCTCTCTTTTTACTCCTCCTGAGTGTTTTTGGGTGTGCTGCTGCAGCTGGCCAGCTGTTAGCATCCCAGCCCACGCTGAGGGTCCAGAATCACGCCCATCATGCAGGAGGCTGATAAAATTTTTTTAGGTTGCTAATGCTATTTGGATCTGCTTTCGCTTCGTGGGAGTGGATTATGTTGTAAGGAAAATCTCCATGAAATGCGAAAATGGATATCTCTGCTCTTAAAGGAGCAAAGAAGAACTGAGTCAGGAATCTGGGAACTTGGAGAAACTACAGGGATGTGCGAAGCGGGGTAATTAGTATAATGCCATTTAATACCGGGTTCCTAAGACTGGATTTATTTTACAGGCACAAAAGGAGATTGTAGTTGGTGGAGGTATTACAGCGTGTATTTTTGAGTAATGCAGTTTTATCTCCTGCAGCGCGGGGTGCTTCGATGTGCGTTCCATATGCTTCTAATACAAAGCTCTACGTGAGAGGTCGCAGCGTGAGGACAGCTCGTTCCCACTTCGATCCTGCTCCGCTCGTGTACGCGGCGGATTTTTAAACTGCA